AAAAAGTTTAATTTTGATTCATTCACACTGGGCAGGTATTATTGTATTGGCCATTGTCATTTTTTTATCTGACAATCTAAGGGAAAAGAGGTGAGTGCCCCTGGCTAAATAGTCAGGTATTGAGTGTTTAAAAATTCTCGCGGCACACCAGCTGAAAATCGTTGTCCACGATTGAAGCTGGGCAAAGCACTGGGCACTTGCAGCGTTCTGCCACACACATCATTAAAATGCACGGGTAAAAATAAATAAATAAATAAATAAATAAATAAATAAATAAATAAATAAATAAATAAATAAAATGCTCGGGGAACAGCAGCTCTCCGTGCCGCATACTGAACTCGAAGAATGTTCTTCACGCCACATTTCTTCCTTGCGCCCCTAACATCGTCACTCTGCCAGATTTGAACACANGGGGAACAGCAGCTCTCCGTGCCACATACTGAACTCGAAGAATGTTCTTCACGCCACATTTCTTCCTTGCGCCCCTAACATCGTCACTCTGCCAGATTTGAACACAACTCTGAGGATTTGCTTTCTTATGGAGGCAAAGTGAAAAACTGAAGTCTTTTCCTTTTTGTATTTTATTGTGGGCTGGAAAGGGTGTTTTACTTGATATTGGTAACCTTCAGCATCACTGATTAACCCTCTTTACAGACTGCAAATGATTTCTCGGACCCTAGTGTGTGAGCCTGAACTGTGCAAATAGAGGATGTGGGGTGGCAGCTTTCCTGCAGCAGAAACAAGGACGGGAGGAGAGAAAATTCGTGGGACTCTCTTAGACCAGACTGTCTTATACACTGCAGGCCGAAGCTGCCACTTTATCTGAACCCTCCTGCCTGTTCCTACATTCCTCACATCCTCTCCCTCCCCCTGCACTTTCTCAGCAAACATACACACACAAGGATCATAGGTGGAAGTGCCTCTGGGAGGAAGGTCATCAAAGAAGATGCTATATGGGGACAGATTGTCTTTTCTTAATTTAAGATTTTGATACCTTTTCTTAATTTAAGATTTTATGCCTGGTCCCTGCCTAATTACCAGGGACCAGGCTAGTGATTCAGCACTTCTAAGGATTGGAACACTGCTTAGAGATGGAGGTTACAAAAAAAAAATCACAGCTTTGCTTTTTAGGAAAGAAAATTGGATCTGGAGTAACTGAACTCTCTAAAGGAACAGTGATAAAGGCTAGTTTTAAACTTGGGTACACTTAAAAGGTTGAACTGCCCACTGTCATTAATATATCCACTTCCACATACAGAGAAAACCCTGTTTAAAATCAGCGAGTGCAGTCCTCTGGGTGAGCAAGCCCTTTGTGGCTGATCTTAGTTTTCGGCTCTCATGGCTTTGGGTTAGTCTTCGGAAAACTTTTCTTATGGGCACCAGCTCCCAGAAGATCTTGCCATGTGGGGACAAAGGTAGGTCTCATAAAGGTGCCTCTGTTTGGGGACCTCAAGAACACCAAACAAGGTGTTGGTCAGATACTGTTGTTGCTCAATAAAATGAAAAAACAATAGAAAAGCAATAGTAACCGGTAAAATGTAGGTTAGCTGGCATCCAGTAAACTTCCTAACTTGAGATGAAGGCAAAGGGTTGTTGGTTTGTAAATTGCAGGCCTCAACATATCTTTTAGAGGCTCCCTCCAGGATGACTAGTGGATTCCACAAGCGAGCACCTGCCTCACTGATGTTCTGAATGCTGACAACTCTGTGAGTCTGTAGCTCCCTGCCAGACTTCATGGCACAGCGATTAATACACAGAATGCACCGGAAACAGATATGAGAGATGCAGACTGAGATTTATGGGCATGTTAATTGCAGCATTATTTATAATAGTCAAAAAATGAGAAGTTAAATGCCTAACATAGGTGTGTGGTTCTATTATTTCATATCTACATTATACAGCTATTAAGAATCATGTCTTTGAGGAACATTTGGTGACAAAAAAATACTTATGATATAATGAGAAATCTAAAGGGTGCAAAATTGAAGACAATGGTAATATTTATCTATTCATTTATTTATGGGTTTTTCCCTCTGGTTGTACATATGCACATAGCAGAAACAAACTAAAATAAAATATTCATACTGGTTATCTTTGAGCAACAAGAAACCAAGTTATTTTTCTTTACCTCCATATTCTTTTCTGTAATATTTTAGTTTCATACAATTTTTTCCTTTTTACTTTTATAATAGTATAGTTTTAAAAAATCAATTGTCAATGCTCACAAGAATACCCAGGTATGCCAGCCCCAATCTACTGTATAATTATAATGAATAAATGATAATATAGTGAATCCCTGCCCTCATATGTGAATAATTATACACACAAAAACACAAACCCCTGTATGTCTCAGTCAGTGACCTCTGGGCCAGCAGCTTTAAGCTCCTGGTTTGCATTACAATTTATCTTGCCATTGATACTTATTGAGTACATACCCTGGGCCAGGCGTTTATGTACCTGCTTTCACTTAACACACTTAAGGATGAAGAAGGTGAAGTTCAGAAAAGGTCAAGTAACTTGCCATGGTCATAAGGCTGTTTGTTCAGTGATCAAAATAGATTCGGACCCTCTCAGTCTGGCTTGAAAGCCTTGTCTCCTTCTACCACCGCGGGGCTGGTGGAAACTTCGGATGATACCTACACTTCATATCAGACATTTAAAAACATCTTCACAAAATATTTTGCTAGCATTCCCAAAGCATGGCCACAAAATAAGTGATTTTTGTTTCTTTTCTTTTCTACAGCCCTAGTGGAGGTGCTAGGGAGACTGCCCAAAGGAGACAACATTACAGATAAGAAAGAGGACCAGTGAACAGTCCCCCTGCTCGGACCCCTGAGAAAACAGGCAGTGGCTGTCAATGTAGCCTGGCCCTCTGTGCTGCAAGAGGGGTGGCCGGCAGCAAGGACAGGCAGATGCTGCTGTTTCTACTGCACCACAGTATCCCATCTGCCCTTGCTCAAGGTACTGTTCCTCCCTCCTTCTAGACCTGAACCCATCTCTCAGCAGTCAGGTCTTTGGGTTGGTAACAAAGCCCATATCATTAGGCAGGTATTTTTAAAATCTGAAAACTTTCCTTTAGAAAGGCCAAAGACCTCACAGATGATCTCTCTTTACTTTTCCCATTTAATAATAAATGTCTTTCAACACTCCTCAAAACAGAGCCTAAGGCTGATGTTGTGTTAGGCCAATCTTTACATGTATCTCTAATTTAATTCAATCAGCAGATGAGTTCATAATAGTAACAAGATCCTACTCAGGTGGAACCTCACCGTGACCAAGTGCTTCCACATCCACTATCTCCTTTGCTTCTCACACTAAGCCTTGAGGAAGGAAAGACAGGTAATATTACCCACATTTTACGGACCAGGAAATTAAGGCATATGGGTGGTTTTTCTGGCCTATTGGAGTGGCTTCCTTGAAAGGTACAGAGAGACTGACGCAGGGGAGTGCACTTGAAAGTTTTGGCTGAGAATGTAGCAGCAGTGTGTCCCTGGAAGCCAGGATCCTGATGAAGAGTTTTAGGGTAAGAGTGGGGGTAAAGAAACGTTGAAGTGGGGGACAACCTCTACTGAGGTCACAATATCTCCAATGGGGAGCTCTGAATGAATGGAATCCTCCCCTAGGTATCTCTTTTCTCAATTCTCTCCATTCTTCTAGGTCAAACCCAAATGCCACAGATCCAGGAAGCATTCCTGATTATCCAGCCCAAAGAAACCTCATAATAACACCTTAAGGTTTTCACATTCTTCAGCTCTTTACAACATCATGACGAGTTTTTGAGGAAGGCTTTGTCATCCATTTTACAAATGAGGAAAAGGAAGCTCTGGGGGGTTAAGAAACGTGTCAAGCTGACACAGTTAATAACCAGAAAAGTCCGAATTTCAAACTACGTCACGTCACACAGTGGCCTCACCTTCCTGTACACTGGCCACATCTTGTATATTGCCCAGGTGTTCCTTAACTCCTCAACTCCTTTACAAGTTCTTTGAGGGCAGACAGCAAGCCTTGTAATTCTTTGTAAACCATCCCCTCCCCAATACTTAGCAGAACTCCATGTACACAGTAGGTTCTCAATAGGCATCATATGTTAACTATCTGTTTGGTAGGAGCAGCAATTAATAAGAGGGGATTTCTGGTACTCTGAATGTCAGGCTCTCTGCTGTACATAATTAAAACAAGAGTAAACATGAAATGCATAATTTCTCCTGGCTCTAGTTAATCAAGCATTTATTACCATGTCTGATTCTGTGTTATGTGAAAATAACTGCTTAGTAAGGATTTTCTGTGATGAGGGTAATCAGATACATACAGATATCAGAGATATTTTTAAAAAGACAAAAACAAGACCATCAATCACATGGAGAGACAATGATCTACATGGTATAATATTCCACCTCAGACTAAAGAACTTTAAGGCAAAGAGAGCACTTGACTAATGTGGGGCAATCCAAAGAACACTAAGAGAGGAAGGTAGGCTGCTAACTGGGGCCTTGTACCATGTATCTGTATCAAGAAGACAGATCATCATGCTACTGGGTCTGAAGCAGAAGAGAGGTCCACTTCCCAGGGCTTTTCTGGGAGAAAGGGTTTGCTCTGGTCCTCTTCAACATAGCAGCCATCTCATTACCACTGGCACTGACAGGCAAATTGAATAAATATACATGCAATATCCAACTATTACTCTGTTGGGTCTCATTCCACCTGACCTCCTAACAAATCATTAGTTTATAGCTATGGAAATATAAAGGGCTCAACAAATTCATTGAGATGAGAATTTTTAAGGTAGAGATTAGCTCAAGTACTCCTAAGTCGGCGTTCAGTAACTGGAGCTAACGATAGCAGTGCCTGTCCACTGTATTTGGTTATCAGACCCAACACAGAAATTGAGAGGCAGGGCTTCTGATTTCCTTTGTGTTACAAATAAATGTTACAAATGCAACATTCCCATGAGCATTCAACCAACATCAAGCAAGAGTAAATACCAGGATTATGGTACCTACATTTGTGTCCTCATGGCTGTGGCCATTGGTCTCGACCAATTCCTTGGTACCTTTTAACTGCAAATTAAAAAAACAAACCCAAATGAATAAGGAGGCATATCTGTTAAGTGTATATCATCCTATTAACTCTGGTTCATCTGAGGTTGCACTTTATAAATCTTCCAACAAGAAAATAAAACAGATGGAGCACATAATTCTAATGAGTCTTACTGAAACCAGTTTGAGACCAATATTTTATGAAACTTGATGGCTGGCAAAAAATAAATGGGTCTTGGTCATTATTTTTTAAACAATAAGATTAGAAAGCAATTCCATAGGCATAAAATGTACAAAAAATTGGTTCTTAAGAATAAAAAATGATTTCGTTTCCTAGTTGCATTGCTATTAATTTAAACCCTGCAGTGTTTGCAAGCTGCCACCAGCCAAATGATGTTACAGTAACCGTTACTCGTGAACAGTGGGTCTCTGCTTGTCTGCATATGCCACAGAGTTATGCCCACACCCTCCTTGGATGGGTCTGACTTTGTTGCTGGAGGCCTAAGAGAAGATGGTTTGCTTCTCTTCGTAAAGGAAAACTAAGAAGATATCTCCTGGGCCACTGAAGCATGAGAAGAAAAGCTACTTCTCAAATGAGATTTTGAACCATGAATATTTGAAAACACTATTCTTTGGACTCTCTCTCTGAAGGATCAGGAATAATCAGCCCTCAGGAGATTTCTGGGAACCTTTAACTGGCATTTTATCCCAGCCTGACTCGAAGCAGACATATGGAGGCAGAGAGCAGGGCACAGGGTGAGCAGGCTTGCAGCTGTTGCCAGTATTTCTTCCTGGCTTATTATGCTTCGGGAGCAGCACCTTCGGTGTCATTTTTAATGCCTAAAGTAAAGAATTCATGGTGGGAAATAAATGCTAACAGTCTGAAAGAAAATAAACGCATACATACTATCCATGTGTTTGATTCGAACACTGGTTTTCCTGGCTGGCTGTACCCATTAAACTGAAAGCTTCGTTACATTTTTTAAGGCGATCTCAAACTCCCCACAAAAAAGCCATATGTTCCTCATGCCAAGAGAGGGGCTTTGCCGAAGGAATGGCAATATGACGACGCTGAGTGCGGGGCAGCTGATTATGGACCCGTGGAGCTGGTTACGGCTCATGGCCAATCACTCCCACTCACGATAAAAAAGTTCTGCCCACGGTTCCTCGGGGCTACGTCATCGATGTTTCTACACACAACAAGCATACGGGAGCACAGGCAATGTGTGACTGTATGTAAAGAAATGGGCACACAGTGATGCAAATACCGTCTCTTATCAGTGGCACAAAGGGCGCAAGCCCCCTCGGCCTTTTCCCATCCGAGGCTGTCCTGCTGCAGGAGCTGCTCACCTTCCTCTCCGCCAGCTCCCTGCTCACCCACCCTGCGGCCTGCAACTCGCGCCTCTGTCAGCTGCAGTGGGGTTAGCTCAGAAGGGTTTGCTATTTTTCAGCGGGAGTACAGGACTATGTGGTTAAAATGCTCCACCTTGCCCGGCCAAGCATGGCTCAGCGGTTGAGCGTCGACCTGAGATCCAGGCGATCGGGGTTCGATTCCCGGTCAGGGCACATGCCCGGGTTGCGGGCTGCAGCCGATCAATGACTCTCAAATCATTGATGTTTCTGTCTCTCTCTCTCCCTTTCCTTTCCTCTCTCTGAAATCAATAAAGATATATTTAAAAAAAAAAAAATGCTCCACCTTTACACCTTACTGGCATAAATGTGCCCCTTGCTCTCCTTGGCCCCTTTAAGTAAACTCCATCTTCCTTGTCATGTTCTTTAACTCTGCCTCGCATCTGCTTTCATGTGTCCCTGCCACCAGTGTGCTTGCCCCCTTGCTCTCTTCAGCAGGACGACCACAGGTCACGCCTCCCTCCACGCCTCCCTCCTGCAGGCTCCCCTTCCCTCCCTGGCCTGCTCCCTGCTCTCCCCTCGCTGCTCCACGCCTCCAGATGGAGAGACTGAACATCGTGCCTCATGATACCTGGGTCTGTGAACAAGCTCCAGGCGGCAGACGCTACACCTTTGTAAAGGAGATGAGAGGCAGGAGGCAGTGGGGCCTGGAGGGACCTGGAGAAGCTGCATCTCAGCAAACAGGGATCTCAGGGAACGAGCCTGCCTTCCCTGGAGAGGGTGGCTGCTGACTGGAAGGGTCTGCCCTCACAACCTAGTCTTTCTTTTCAGGGTTCCCAGCAAGTGGCAGTAACTCTGAATGGCAAAATTCCAAGTGTTCAGAGAGGGTCTATTTTTTCGTGTGTGTGTGTGTCAAAGAAAGACACCAGACCAAATAATCAAAATCATGTAGTTAGGACCCGCCAGGCATGGCTCAGCGGTTGAGCATCGACCTAGGATCCAGGAGATGACGGCTGGATTCTGGTCAGGGACATGCCCGGGTTGTGGGCTCGATCCACAGTGGGGGGCGTGCAGGAGGCAGCTGATCAATGACTCTCTCATCATTGATGTTTCTATCTCTCTCTCCCTCTCTCTTCCTCTCCCTGAAATCAATAAGGATATATTTAGAAAAAAAAAAAATCATGTAGTTAGTCTACACAAGCCAAAAGAAAGTCTCGGAAGGCAAGGCTTGTGGAGGTAGATGTGTGTTTTTAAGTGTGCGTCTCTGAGTGAGTAGGTGGGTGGCTGCAAGATTAAAGGAACATGTCCACTGCATGTGGCATTCGGCAAGGGTGACAGGCGCTCCAGGAAAATAGCCTGGTGTGGCAACGGCACCTGAGTGCATTTGGCTGCTGTGGGCCTGCTCAGGCTTAAATATTCTCAGTGCCTTTGCTTGAAAAGACCATCCCATGTAAACAGTACTGCAGATCTAAACCGCTTTCTTTCCAGGTGTATTTCCCAGGTTTTAACGATTTTGGTGGTTCTAATGTTCCTCACATTCCCATTTACTCTTTAGGTAATGGAGAGGGAAGTGTGATGCTTCGCCAGCGACTGTGTCCGTGCTTTGCTCTAACAGTGCACACCCTACAGGACTATGGCAATACTGTCTGCAAAACTGGGCTTTGGACTTCACATCAAAATAAAGGATCTGAGGCGCTCAGAGAGACCGCACATGTGCAAGCACAGGATTGTGAACAATGAAGGTCAGAGCTGTGCCGTTTGATCAAGAGCAAATTTGAACCAAATCAGCTGCACTTTGCTGAGAGTCTTAATAACGCAAAGGAGGAAAGATCAGTGACTGCGGGTCTCTGAGACAGTCGGCTATGTGAATTTAGTAAACAATATTTTTCAGCTCAATATAACTTATCCAAAAGCAGCAGATTCAGCTTCAGTCTAAGTTACTGAATATATATTAATTATATAGAGGTAATGATTTGTTTTATAAAGCATCTTCATCCAAAGCTATAAAAGCTTATGAAGTATCTAACACCTTTACTTTTCCCTCACAAATCACTTATACTTTCAGGGGAAAGTAACTAAAATATATTTCTTGATCCCAAACCATTAAAAAATAAGCACTTTTAAAGTGACTGAGTCACAGCTGACCAGGGTCACACTCTCCCAACTTCATATTTTTTAAAATGTCACACTTGCAGTTACTTATACTATACAAATAATGTTTTCATAAACCACTGTAAGTTAAAAACTTAAAACAGCTTAAATTTGGTTAGGGTTGGAGTCACTCTATGTGATTTCCCCTCCCAGTTACCGTGTATAACATCATGGGCATCATGTGCAGGCCCAAACACGGAAACGTTTCAAGAGCTCTCCTGGCTCCTGGCTCCTCTGTGCAGATACTGGGCTTAGACTCCCACTGTGGCCGAGCCATTCATCTTACCCGGCTGTAAGGCAGCACTTTCAAATCCACTTATCAATGTCAGGCCACACTTTAGTATCAAAGAGAGCCAGGATGAAATGATGAGATTTACACACTGCATGTAAAAGGTTTGCTGCTCACTGTGGTAAGATCGGCGCCCTGATGCACAGGGAGGGCATTTTTTAAATGTTGCTATGAATCAGCCCTTCTTATGCACATGTCTGCAAGAGCACCATGGGTTATGCTAAACTCATTTGCCTCACTACTAGGCTTAAGAGGAAACTAGCTGCTTGCTTGGAAATATATCTGCACTGTCAATATTTTAAAATTTTATCAAAATTCATTTGTCTTCCGGAAGAAACTTTTTACACATCACTGGTGGGCTTGGGTAGTCAAAATAGGTATCTAAGAGTGAGAATAGAGGTGCTGGGAGTGAGATTTTAAATTCCACATAGCAAGGCTGCTAGGAGGCTGGGCAAGGTGCAGGCTAACTGCACCACAGGTTAATTTCAGTCATGAGTGTGTGCCCTGCACCAGCGAGACTCGAGCCCATGTTTGAAGGAGGTTACCAAGCAGAGCTACTGCTTACTGGTCACTTACTTGTTCCTGGAGGACTTTAAGTAATGCCTGTGTGTGAGACTGCTCTTCCTTTGCTTGTTCCAACTCTGATTTTTTGTTGTTTAGCTCCTCCTGGATGGTCAGCAGTTGCTGTGAAGTTAAAGGACATTTAGGGTAAGTAGGACTGAAGGCCAAGTGATTGTAAGACATTCAAAAACATGAGATTTTTACACGTCTTAAAGCTTAGTCCATCTTCAATTAACTTTTATGTGTGTTCCTCTCCTCCGCCAACTGAGTGTAACAAGTATTGTAGTCTAGGATATGTTATTAGGCTGCTTGTGATATTGCTGCAGAATAAAACAAGTTTGTTGTAGTTTGTGAAGGCACCATTATATGCCTTTTAACAAATGCATATTTGTGAAAATATGTAGAATGCTGTTAATAAACGACATATTGGTAAAAGAAATAAAAAATAAAAAATATGTTATTGGTCATCCTGTCCAAGATTACTTCATTTTACATATGACAGTAAAGCTATTTCACTAGGTGGCTGGGGCCACAAGGGATCCTTTTACTCTCTGTTATGACAGTGATGTTTTGTTAGATCAGCAGGACTGAAGTCCAAACTGCAATCAATATATCAGCCGAGAAAACTGCTGATATAAGCCGTCAAAACACTAAGCTATGGCCTGCACTGCTATTTTTAAGCCGGGCCACTGAAGGGATTTTGTAAACCTTGAGCTTCTCTTGCCCTCTCAACTGTAACGCATGCGGAGGCTGGCTCGCCTTGTCTGCCAAAGCACAGGGCTGCCCGGCACTAATTCTCTGGAACGTGGTTGTATGTTAATATACACCCAGGCTGGAGAACGGTCAGGAGCTTCAGAACAGGCTCTGGGAACAGCTATGTCTACTCAAAGCTTCTTGACAACAAAGGACGAGTTTAAAAAAGACAAGTACATTTCTTCTGCCACTGTACATAACAGATGCCACCCTAACGATATGAAAATATCTGTGTTTTCCTGCTTCTTTGGGGCCTTGACAAACTGGCTGCGGAGCTGCCTGGCCAGTTCCTAACTAAAAGGCCTGAATAAACACTGGCATTTGATTTCTGATGCTTAAACCTACCAATGGAAAGGATTAAATTAAATCTTCAAAACCACTAGTTTTGGGGCATGTTGAGGGGTAGTAAGTACTCAGAAGAACAGACTGTTTTCTCTTGGACTTGCTCGCTCTGTTCCCTACTCCGGCACTGGATATAAATTAAAGAGCTTACTTTGGTCCCCTCGCATAAAATTATTTCCTTGCAATTTCCTAAAAACTCAGTGCCTCCTAGGTCACCAGCCGCCCGCATGTGAGGTAATCCACACATCCCACACTGACTCCCTTAACACTCGACGTGATTTAATTGGGCAGACTGACCAAGGTACAGGAACCAGGAGGCCTGGCCCATCTTGTACTTTGGGACCACGACAAGTACCTAAAGTGACAGTTTCCGAACAGTGGGGAATGGCCCTGTCCCTTCATCCTCACTCATGGCTGGTCCAGAACAGTTCAGAAGGGGTCTGGTGCTCAGACTGATGGTGACAAGTACTTTTTTTTTTTAATCTTCATCTAAGGACATGCTTAGAGAAAGGAGGGGGGGAAGAGAGGGAGAGAGGGAGAGAGGAACGCTGACCGGTTCCCTTCTGCACGCTCCCCGACTGAGGATCAAACTCGCAACCCAGGGATGTGCTCCGACCAGGACTCAAACCAGCAGCCCCTCGGTGCACGGACTGCGTTCCAACCAACTGAGCTGCTCCGGCCAGGCAATGCCCAGTACATTTTTACATCACTGGACAATTTCAGATGCAATCCTTAAAGCTCCTTAAAAAAAGAGCCACGTTGAAGGGCAAGAAATTATCTTCAAAGGTAGGTAGCTTACGTTTGTTCCCTGGGCACTTGTAATAGCAAAATTTAGAACGACCACTGTTCAGCAAGCAGGGGCTCGCTGCATGAATGATGGCGCATCTGAACAATGCAAAACTATGCAGCCATTAAACACAGGGCTGCACAAATGTCTCAGGACACAGAAGCAGCGTATCATACACTGTTCCCTGCACAAAAAGTTCAGGTTACAAAAGGTTTCACTGAACTGCAACGTTTTCATAGAAAAGGACCTGGATACTATTTCTGGATGAGTGGGTCTAAGGATCTTTCTGTTAGTTTTGCTTATAATTTTCTGTTCTGTCTCTAAGGAGCATACACTGCTTTGAAATGAGGGGGGGAAATTAGAAGAACTTGATTAAGCTTGGGGAAAGGAAAAAGAAAAGAATACTACTTGGNAGAAATGAGAGGGGGGGAATTAAAAGAACTTGATTAAGCTTGGGGAAAGGAAAAAGAAAAGAATACTACTTGGCTATAACTCTCAGCTATTATTACCAACGCTGTGAATGAAGAAGAGGGAAGGTGAGAACTCCCATTAGAGCCTGCCATTCCAGCCACACAGTTATAACACTTCTTCATTCTATTAAAACACACGCATAGTCACGAGGATGTAACGTGCAGCAGAGGGAATATAGTCAATAATAGCATTAAAAACCCAGTGTGAATGTACTTAACACGACTAGACTACACTTAAAATGGGTAAGATGGTCAATTTTATGTTATACAAACAAATTGTACCATAGTTAATAATTAACATTTAAAAAAATTAAACCCACACACACACATACCCCTCTCCCTGGGCCTCTCTTACCAGTTTCAAGCTTCTATCCTGTCTCATTCTTTCCTGGTATCACACTTTTTAAATAAAATGTCTTCTCTCTCATTCCCACTTCCTTTTCTTCTCAGAAGAGGCGATCACTTCCAATGGTTTCTATCTTTTTTATTTGAATGTGTTTTTCAGAAATATATATTATTACTTGAGTATGCATTTTTATGTAAGTGATATTGCCACATTTCTTATTTGCTAAGCATGATCTTTTTAAGGTCCATCCATGCTAATATGTATACAGGGTACGGCAAAAGTAATTTTATAGTTGTTCATATGGAAAATAATACCTAAACAATAATACAAGAATAAATTCTGTGTTGTGCTTACTCGCAACTATACACCTACTTTTGCCCCATCCTGTATATGTAATCTATTGCTGCTGAAGCTGCATAATATGCTGTGGAGTGCGTCCACCCGGTTATGCCTAATGCACTCTCCCAGTGAAGGCCACTCAGACTGTCCTCTCTTCTCCCTCCCCTACCCAAGGTTACAAGGGCACACGCTCGTGCACGTTCCCTAGTGGAACTGGGGAGAACCCCCTGGCACAATTCCAGCAGTGGCACTGCTGGTGCACAGGCCGTGCCTAAGGAGTCATTTAGCCGAAGCTGCTCCACAGAATGGCTGTACCAGTCTACCCACCCACTGGTAGCAGGTAAGAATTACTGTGTCCCACACCCACACAAACACTTAGCATTATCCAACTTTCTATTTTTGTCAGTCTAATAATATATTCTTCATCCTTTAAATTTTTGTACTTCTCTGACTCCCTGTGACTTTAAGCATCTCATTATAGCTTGCTACTGCTAAAGTTTATTTATACTTCTCTAAATTTTTTTTTCTTCGCCCAAGGATATGCTTTTTTTAAAAACTCATTTTGGAGAGAGTAAGGGGGCGAGAGAGAAAGAAAGGGGGAGAGAGAGAGAGACATCAATAGGTTGCTTCCCGTACTCGCTCTCACTGGGGAGTGAACCCACATCCTGGGTATGTGCTCTGAGCAGGGATCGAACCCGCCACTCTTCGGTGCATGGGATGACGCTCCAACCAACCAAGCTACACTGGCCAGGGCTATTTATACTTCTTAAAAGAATAGTCAAGGGTAGTGGTTTTTAAAGCTGGAGGAATTTTTAAAATACTGCTTTGTGGGCCCCATAGAAGACAAATTAACTCAGAGTATCTAGAGGTGTGACCCAGGCGACTATGCTTTTAATAAAAAACTTTACATATGACTTCACTTATATGTGGAATCTTAAAACCCAGGATAAACAAACAAACAAAACAAAAACAAACTCATAGATACAAAAAACAAGTTGATGGTTGCCAGATGGGAAGGGGATTGGGGAGATGGTTGAAAAGGTGAAGGGATTCAGAAGTACAAATTGGTAAAGAACAGTCATGGGGATGTAAAGTACAGCACAGGGAATACAGTCAATAATACTGTAATAACTATGTGTGGTGTCAGATGGGTATTAGACTTATGATAATCACTTCATAAGATATACATGTATATCACTATGTTTGTACACTTGAAACTAATATAATATAATATAATATAATATAATATAATATAATATAATATAATATAATATAATATAATATAATATGATGTCATCTGTAATTAGAAAATAAATAAATAAATATTTTTAAAAAATATATCTTTATTGATTTCAGAGAGAGGAAGGGAGAGGGAGAGAGAGAGATAGAAACATCAATGATGAGGGTCATCACGGATTGGCTGCCTCCTGCACGCCCCCCACTGGGGATGAGCCCGCAGCCTAGTTATGGGCCCTGACAGGGAATCGAACCTCAATCTCCTGGATCCTAGGTTGATGCTCAACCGCTGAGCCACGCCCGGCAGGGCAGAAAATAAATTAATTAAAAAAAATTTAAAAATACTAACAAAGTAAATAGCAAAACCCCTTCACAGATAATTCTAAGGTGCAGATGGGATGAAAACTTGTTTCCTTTCATGCTTATTTAATCTTCATACTATTACAATGTGCTTTCCATCCCAGTACCCTACTCAAACTGTTCTCACTTTAGAAAATCACCAATGCTTTTCTAACTGCCAACTAAACGCCAGGTTCTGTTTCCTCTATCGGACACGCTCTCTTCAGGGGACCCTAGTCACACCCATGGCCTCAAGTACACCTCTCACCCACCTATGCTTCACAAAGCTGACATTATAGTCTCCACCTCATTCCTACTACCCACTAGACACTGTTTCAAACCATGCCTATTATCTCCATCCCCCCACCCCTGGCCTAAATCTATTACTGTGATATCTAGAATTAAAACCTTGAAGTCAAACCCTGCTCTTTCATCACCCTCACCGCCTCTCTGCCTGTCACTCTGCCTTCTCTCCATCCACCTTGGCTGTCATGGTTAAGGCAACCAAGGA